TAACTGTATTTAATTGTTTACCAAAATCGACCTTAAAGATGAAGATTTATTTCGTTCCAAAAGGTGGTGACAGACACACACACGAACAAAAAAATAAAATAAACAAATAAAAATAAATACTGTATTGTAAAAGCAATCGCTCCACTCTGAATCTAAATCCTCTTCATTGTTTATGATATACAGACACAAAAAATTTAAAACAATTATTCACATTTTAATGAGAAATTTAATTTTTGAATATTATAGCTTCTATATCAAGTTTAATATTCATTACTGATAAACTCAATTAGATTTTTCATTTATAATTTCAACCAAGATTTGTTTTATTACTGTAAGCGCTGAAAATTATATCTCAAAACCAATCGTTCAATTAACGGCTATTTAAGTAGTACAAACTGTAACATTGTCTTAAAATAATGAAAGACCATTTTGTTCTTTAATTTTTGTGATCATTTATTGCTACCATTTCGGTATTTGCAATCCACAAGTTGGAAACCACTTGCACAGATCATCGCACTATCTCCTCCTAACCTAACCTGTAAGAAATTCAAAACTTTTTTTGTTCACTGACATTATAAGATTAATATTATATAGATGACGATCGTTATAAAAATTGTCTAATAAGTTTATATTGTATGATTGATATAAATAAACAATATTTAATTAGTGTGATTATAACTCAAGGGGATCGAATTCGGTGCGTCATTAATAGTTCAAAAACTCACCTTACAGAAACAAATAAAACATTCACACACTGTAGAATAGTTTGAATTTTTTTTTTTTTCTATTTTTTAAATACGAAAACATTTTGCAGGTCAGATTAAAGCTTGATTTTCAAAAAAAAATCATAATCATTTTAATTTATTTTTTCATAATCTTTTTTCCATAACAATTTAATTCAAAATAAAAATCCGAGTATTTATCCGACCTATAAAAACTTCTTATCTTTCAGATAAAAAAATAAATGATTTAAATCTGGCATATCAACGAGTCATAAGAGTTTTTCAGTAACAGCAATCAGCAATTTGTTCATCAAAAATTCAGTAGGTAGGTACCAAATATCTAGAGTGTAATTATTATCTAATTAGGTACGTATATTATTAAGTGAGGGGAATTTGAGAAGTCATTGTAACGCAATTCCTCCTCAGTTGCGATACCACACAAAAATAAGGTATATTTTTTAGTATTAATCAATTAAATCTTCATAAATAATTGCACTTTTTCGTGTTAAAGCGTAGTTCATCTGAACATAATTTCTGTGAGATACAATGGATGTTTAAAACAAATTTAAATATATATATATATATATATTTTTTATGAAGACACTTGAAATATTTAGAGTTTTTGTTGCTTAAAATGCTACTCAATTCAAATGTGTAACTAAGATAAATTATATGCACCAAATGTAATTACCTACACTTACGAGCTACGGGTTTAAATTACATTTAAACGAATAATCACTTAAAATGCAAATTTGTACCACAAACATGAAAACATGTAATTTCAACAATCTTAGTGACTTTTAAAAAAAAATAAATCCATCGTCATTTGTCAGTATTTAAAATGATAAAATGTTCATTTCGATTGTAAATTAAAAATTAAATTAATTTTATATTTTTAGCTGTGTATTTATTTATACAATTAAAAGCTCATATAAATATTTATGTTTCAAACAAATAATAATAACGATAGTATTAACATTAATTATGCAATAATACTCACAAATATTTTTAAAATATACCAATTAACTCTTAGAACTTTACAAATGTATTATTAGTTTTATGAATTAGTATAACCAAATAATAAATCATGATAATAATATAAAAATTAATAAACCATAAATTAATAATGGTTTTTACAACTGATTGTTTCGAAATTTTAACCGTAATTAAAAATAYTACAATGCTTTAATATATTATTTAGTTATTCTAGATGAGCGTTTAATTTTATATTAAAAATAGATACACATTTATAAAGTTTTATAAGGTTAAATGCGTCGCTACTGTTGTGAAGTCAAACCACTTACATACACAATTATTTAAATTCCACATAAATTACTAAAAACAGTTCCCTTTTGAGATTCATCAAAGATTTACATAACTAGCGAACCACCCATTTCGACTTACAACGATAGTTTAAGTCACGTCTGCAGTGGTCTAATGATGAATATCGTTAAATATACTGTTTCTTTGTTATAAGTTTCGCAATATTATGTATATATGTATTAGCCACACTCCGGGTTCCTATGTAATAAAAACTACGAAATTCATGCTGACCACGAACCTGGGTCATTTCCATTTATTATCTAATAACATCATCTAAAATGTCCCAAAAATAAAAAATAATCTGTTGATCGATAATCATAAAAAAAAAATCGTCAGCCAAATTGTTTTATATCATTATACATGTAACGTGCCGATGACTTTTGATGTGTCTAACGATCACTATTATTATTATAAAATCATATAGTTGCCAAGGAATAATATTATTATAATATAAAAAGAATATAAAAGTTAACATGTAGGAACCTACTTATTATCCACTTTTGGCAAATACTTTATTTTACACTATGGTATCGAGTGTACTTCGTCGTAGAGTAAGTATTAAATCACTATAATGGATGTGATAAATTTGAATTAAATTATACCCCAATGAATACGAAAAACAATTTATTATAAACGAAGCTGGCGAATAGTGGTCCGGAACGTCATTTTACGTGGCTAAAACTATTAATTTAAAATTTTAATTTTAATGTTTTTTTTTAATAAAATCATTATCTACGCATCCTAGGGGATACTATACTGGGATAGTGATACAGAGTTACAACCTTTTAGGTCCAATTTCACGAAAACAGAAGCATATCGCTCGCAAGATATTTTCTTATTTCTATCTCTATCGCGTAGTATTTCGATGTTTTACGGTCGTAGTATAAATATTTTTAGTATTATCAATACTGTTAATATAAATCATGAGTATTCTTGAGACTTGAATAATACAAAAGACTTAAAATATATTTTGATTTTTTTCCTATTTTATATCGTATACTACAAATATTAAAAATCGATTTTGATCGTTTTTTATTCGTTAAAGAGTGTCACTTAAAATTACGCAATTTTATCATTTGTAGAACAAATGAAAGTTTTAGGGTAAGTTCTTAGCTATTCAAAAGCCAACGTTTATTTTTGTGCTATTTATTGATCTCGGAGTATTAACACTATTCTTATGAAACAAAATTGGATTATAGCGAAAACCGGTATTTTGACAATATAATATAATACAATAATCATAATATATATTATTATATTTTACTTTGATACAATTTTAATTTTTCAACATGAAGAATACTAGAAACTCTACTTGGTGATGATGTGACCTCTTTAAAATTTTAGAAATCACTTCTTTGTCCATGTTGTTGAAATTTACTATTTGCAGCATATAAGATTTCAGAAGAGTCATGTTCGAAGATGTTATCAAATTGTTTATTTTTCGGCGTTTAGTCCGTTCGGAATACTCCATAAACATTTTAACAGGAAAACCAATATTGGCAGAATTCAAAATTAAAGTTCGAGGTATAAGTGGACCCAGTGGAAGAATTTTTAATATAATAGAATTAAGCCACTCAGTGTTCATGGTATTAAATTTATAAAATTTCTTGTACGATTTTAACAATTTTCGAGATAGCACTAACGAACAATTTACGGTTTCACTTTCAAATAATGGTGTAATGCTATATGTATATGTACTATCCCAAGTATAACTGTTGCAACGTTTTTGTATGAAATTAAGTATTAATTAAAACGACAGACGTTGATTTCAATAACATCATGAATCAAAAAAATTGTATCGTTATTATTTTTTGAATTAAAAGAAAAAATGTATAGGTATTCTAATCTACACGTTTAAAATATTTAAAATTATTACAGCCAATAATTTTATACATTTTACTAGGTATCGCAGAAAATYCCGATTTCGTGACAACTCTATATTGTAGGATATTATATCAAAGTAAGATTATGCAGAGCTTATCACAAAGATATTGTTATGCAATATTGAAGGTAAAATTTTCATAATATCATCTTGATGTATCATGCATACGTTTTCATCTGAATTAACCATAACTAACTTAAAGTCTACTAGTTGTCATGTTAATAGTTTCAACAATATGATCCTCCAAGGAATTATATTTACTCAAGCGCACGAGTAATACATTACAAACATGGACATTCGCCGGTAGTTTTGATAAATTCGTTAATGTCCGTAGTACCTACAGTCGATATAAGTCCCGACTTTTGTCCGGAAAATACGAATTATTACTTAACTAAAAAAAAATTTCAGAAAAATTGAAAATTTCAGTTGTCTATAAATATCTCAAAAAAAGTCAAAATATTTTGAAAATTAAATCATTTAAAGAAAATGCCAATCTAAATAACTGGTAAAATTTTCAAGTATCTACGACTTATACTTTTTGAATAATTACAAATATTTAAAATCGTTTTCAAGTATTTACAGTGATTAGTTTTTGAATTACAACCATTAAGAAAATCGATTGGGTCGAAAACTGGTTTTGCGTAAAAATTCCGGTTTTTCTGTTATTTTTTTTTTTTGTTTTTCTCGATTTTTTTGATAACTGTAGGAAAATTTTAACTTTTGAACTCTATAATGCACTAAGGATATTCACTTTTACATCGTAAACCACCACCAAAGTTTGAAATTGAAGCATTATTTCGACTAGTTATGCTGTACAGACACACACAAAAAAAAAAACACACATCATTGTAAAATCAATACATCAATCACTTCGTTCAGAATCTAAAATTTAAGTCTGGTTTATAGTAAAATAAATATTTATTAGAAATTAATAAACAGATTCAAATAAATATAAAATATTGATAAATTTTATTTAAACAAACATAATTAATATAAACATATAATTAGATTTAAAATTTAACATAACGATAAAAGTATAAAAATTTAGTATCCAAATTGGTAGGTAGGTAAACATTTAATTTTACGTCAAGATAGTTGTGATCGATTTTTTATTCCCTTGTTTAAGTTGCAATTGAATGTTCTATTTTTGAGATTTCACGGCACCATTTGAAAAAATCAGGAAGATTTTTATGAAAAAAAAAAAAAAAAACAAAAAATAGTTAGTGATAAAATCTCATAATTAATAATTAATAAAAAATACTGTTTTTATAAGCCATGAACACTGTTTACAATGGTATTTATTAAGAGAGACTAAAAATATTACTCATATATCATTATGTAAAATGTAAATATTATGTGATTGAAATTGTTCGATTGTTGTGTTACAAATATTGTAGGTTTGGACATTGGACTAAGTTAATATTATTATCCAGCAAACATAACTTTATCATAATATTTCGGAACATAACAATTTGTTGTATTTTGAGAAGGCTATGGTGATTATTTTATAATCTACACCTAGTAGGTACTTAAATAAAACTAAATAAGTAGTTTTGGTCAATATCAATTATGTTTTGAAAATGTACGTTTGTAGCGCAACATTTTTACAAGATATTTAACATTTTTTTTTTTTTTTATCACAGTGGTATTCCAAATCAATTAATTTAAAAAAAATATAACGTATTATCGTATAGGTAATAGTAAAAATATTTATGATTTAGATTACAACTAAAATAGTAAAATATCCAGTTAAAATCATAAGTTATTATGAAAAATAGTAAATGAATATATTATACTATTATGGTATTCCTACATGACTAAATTATGTAGGCACATGACTAGAGAATAGTTCAAATTTATGTCATAATCAAAGCCGCATTTATAACTAAATGCATTCTGTTATTCTGTATATATGCGTTTTAATACTAGGTATTATCGGTGAAACGTTAGTTTGGAATTTGGGACGTAGTACTGACGGAAAATTGAATAAACAATGAATTCTAAACTATATGGATATGAATATGTATATATGTGAAATTAAATATTATACATTCACAATTCTGAATGTACAAATATATAAAMTCTAATACTCTATTCTCCAATGAGGTAAAAAGGTGTTTTTCTTTTATCACGCAGTAGTAAACTTCACTAAAATCAGTCTACTGCTGAATTACTAATGAGACGAAAAGTCCCCTCAATAAAATCTGCTACTGAATTACTCATATGTAAATTTCCACAAACCCAAAATAAAAGACCACGAGGTATAAGTTTGATCATATATATAACCTACCGCTTAGAAGAGATAGCAGGTCAATTTTGCACGCAAAAATAGAATAGTTTCACATAAATTTGCCTAAATCAATGTAGCATTTAAATTCTATTCAGCTAACTAAAAAGTGTATAAAGTACAACAACGGTTACGCAGAGGAGTTTCAAAGCTCCCGTTCACTAGCCAAAAACAAAAATACCTAAGTCTTAGTTTTTGTAACTGTTTGCATATTATTACACTGATCAGAAAACTATGTAGCGAATCATTGTGTAAAACCACGCCCGGATAAAATATAATATTTTTGACATTTTGAAGATTCCAATATCGAAATAATCATGAAAAATAGTAAATTCTTATATTATTATGTATCGTTATTATTTAGCAGTATAATATACATACCACGTCATATAATATAACATAAAACTTAGTAGAAAAATAGTGCAGTTTATAACATACATTTCCAACAAAGTCCTCACACCGCTTGAAGGTCTCGAGAATTCATGGTATGTGCCATAACATAAAAAATTTATAATTGAGTACCTATACCTATCCTATATTGTCACCTATCGATATACGAGTAGATAATTTTAATAGTTTAGGAGACTTTACACTTTTCCATGAACCACGGACCGTGATTTCTGATAAAAATTGAATTTCTATGATTGACTGAATCTATAGTGTTGCTCATGCTACGATATTATGTTACTATAGTGCATTTTATATACCAGAGAGTAGAATCCTATCCAATTCGGTACTCATAGTATACCTACTATTATACGATAAACCTACAGCCAATATCACATTAAAATAGTTTAGCATACCGTGATTATAGGCTTCACCCACATAATGTATAACTATATTAATATACGATGTGCGTAGATCATCATCATCATCGTCGTCGTCGTCGTAAATCATTGGCCAGGTTTTGACTTGCTGAAGGACACCAGACCACCGTTGATAGTACAACCGGGTTCCTGGTAGTCGGCCATCGCTTTGTCGACGGATTCGATCCGTTCGAAGCAGATATTTGCTGAATGGTATGGGTAGACGGAACCGGAAAGCCAGTTATTGCCGCCGGGTAACACGCGGACGCATTTCACTTTGCCGTAACGACTGAACGCCGCGTAAAGTTGGTCGGCCGTGATCGATTTGTCCAGTCGGTCAATGCGCAGCAGATTCGTCGGACGGTCATCGTCGTCATCATCGGTGGTATTCGTGGTGCCAGTCGATGGTAGGTGGTCGGGCATTGGTTCCTCTAGGAACGCCTTCACCTTGTTCCGGTAGGTTATGTACTGCTCGCCAATCGACTCATTTTCGTCCACGTCGTTCAGATACGGGCCCTCGTCGGTCGGTTCTAGTTCGTCGTCTGTAGACTGCACCGTGAGATGCGGTGGTAACATTACATCCGACAACAGTTCGAATTCCCGAGCTTAGTTAAAGAAAAAATTAAAAATTAAAACAACAATTCGTTAAACAATCAGAAATCTAATGTATGAGTATAACTTATTTAAATAACAAAAAAAAAAAAAAAAACTTAAATGTAACACTCTACCTTCTGCATTCAAATGCTTCGTGTAGCCTGCATATGTCTCCTGTTTAAATTGCCGTGTTATCGAAGTGTTGTACTTGTTTTCTTCACGTTCAGAATTAGAAAAGCCTATAAGATCAATAAGTTCTTTAACAGCAGTACTATTTAATTTGTTATTTAAGATATATCTGTTGATTAATTTATTATATATATTTTTATTGCATAATACCTATGTTTTATGTTTAAATAAATATCTAAATATTTAAATGTGAAATGAAAATCTATGTACGGGGTAAACTCTGGAACGACTTATCAGATCTTATTGTATTATATATAAATGAAAAATCCACTTTTGTTGGTAACGGTTATTCTCAGAAATATTATAGGTACTGGATAAATTTCAATAAAAGACATAAAATAGGTTCCTTGTGACTCGAGGAGGGTTATTTAGTTTCTTATTTCAACCCTATAAGTGAACGTATGGATTTCGTTTTGGGTCACAAAATTTGAATACTTTTTGTTAGTAAAAAAATTAATTGTATCAAGTAACATAGAAGTTTTTCGTTTTCATTTAAGTTAGTTTTAATAATTGTTATTTAGGGGTATAGTGCCGGGTGGATTACCGATTAAGGCGTCGGTTGCGACGCGCACCGTCGCTGGTTCGAATCCTGAATAAGGGACGGCATCGTTTTCAGGGCAGTTCACTCAGCTCCATCTGGAAAGATGCTGCCCCGGCTCCCCACCCGGGCGTGGCAGAAACCTAGACAGGTGCTTATTCGAAATTCTGCCAAAAACATCCGCGAGTTCCAAACCAACATTTCCTCCCCCACAGTTCTACAGGATAATGACCCTTGCTGTCGAACCCTCAGCCCCAATAAAAAAAATAAAAATTGTTATTTCTATTAATATTGGTCATTTTTATTTGACGTTATTAAATTCAAAGATGAAATTCAGTATTGGTCGCTTAATCGAAGACATCGAGATTTCACTGTCATATAATATATAGACAATTAAACGAGTGCCATAGTAAAATGTAATGCTGGTGAACGAATTATCGTCTACATTACTATAATACATTGCTAATATAAATATGAGGATATACATATAGTATATACCTATTATACCTAATAAGGAATGATAATAAATAATAATTCATATTGATTTTTTTTTATTTCCAACATCTTGACAACTGGACAGTGACTAACAATTCAACACCTAGCTATAGGTAGTCACGAATTCATCGAAAATAAAACTAACGTGATTTATGCGATCCGTAATCTGAAGTTTTCCTCATTATCATTATGTTATATAACTATTTATTGTTAGTAACTCACATATCTCAACCATAATATTTTATACCTATTATCACAACTATAAACATTATTTAGACTAACTTTTTTAAAGCCATTTTTTGACTACATATTTAACAATTTTTAAATAATAGTATAATAGATGAATCCCTAATTGACTACTTATATCTTGGTGACTGCGGCTAAAGAAATATTCACATTTAAATATGACGCTCAAGTTATTGATAATGTAGACAATGATAATGTTTCTATTGATAATATGAGTAAGAATTATTAGTATTTCCAAGCCTAAAAATGAACTTATGAATCACTCGGTATTTGATGGGCTGGAGGAAAAGTTATATTGGATGAAGTTGCTGATCCACCAGAACTATCGAAAAGTCACGTCGGTGCCACTTATCATAATTTTAGTTTTTTCTCAATAATAAACAGAAGTATAATTATACTTAAAAAATGTAGTCATATATTATAACAGAGATAAGACACGGACATTTTATGCTTAAATTCAAAGTTAAATTTCAGCACTCATGAAGAACAAAAATGTTTACAATTATATTTTACTGAAACCAAATATTTATGAACACAATATTATAATAATTACTTTTATGATTTAAGACTTCTTAATTCTGGATATGGTTTTTGTGTTAACACACATAGCTGAATACTAATCTCAACAATATTGGATTTACGTAGATATTATTTAAATATTTATTGAATTGGTTAACAGTTTTTTGTATTTGTATAAAAACGTGTCCAAAGAAATAGAAAACCATGAAAATCATCGTACCTAATTTTGTTCATATAAGAGTTTGCATTACATATTTATTTAAATTTCGATATAAGTAGGGTAATGCAACTAGAATATTACTAATCTTGAAAAATAAATCAAGTAAATATTAATTATAAAACTATAAGATAATATTTCGAATTGAAGTACACTTATATTTAGTTGTAATAAATAATAATAAACACTTCGGGTTTATGTTAATAATTCCTTATTAAATTTATTCCAAACACTAACAGAAAGGATATGACATAAAATAATTATTTGATTGATTTTTTTATGATTTGACATACAACATTACTAAAATTTAAAACTTGTTCCAAGGAAAAAAATGCCAACACTCTTTAGTGAACTTGGTTAAGTATTTTTTCGGTAAAATTATTGTTATATTAACTTAGCTCACACAAAAAAAACCTGTCTTAATCTTCTCATATATAGTTAATAATTAATTTAACATTTTTTAATAACTATTAAGCAATATCCAGAAGTTACCTCATTACCTCAAGGAGATGATTCTCATTTTCGTCCAAAAGTTATATAGGTAGTTTTATTTTTATTTTCTTCTTAATAAAAAGTATCAAGATTTAGTATTTACTAATAACAGCAGCTTACAACGGCGTATATTAATTAAGTGATATCCTTACACTAATATTCTTTTTCTATGATTTCTAACAATTTTTTTTTTGAAATTTTTAAATATAAATGGTTAATTTAGACTGCTTATTTTAATACCTGTAGATTTTGGTTTGTATTTTTTCTAATTTAATGAGACGATATTTATATTTAAGTAAATTTAATAAATATTAGTATTTTACTAATTAATATTTTCACATTTATTATATATTATTGGCAAAAATTATTGAAACGAGTTTAAAATCGACTTTTTTATTATCCGCACAATACAGCAAAAAAGGTAATTGTGGGCCAACTTTATTTTGTATTTTATTCTTTTCTGGTATAACAACTTGAAAAAGGTTGGCAACCTCTAGTCTAATTGTTTTATCGGTAATACTTAAGACATAATAAAGAATGGCATGTAGGTAACATATTGAATTACCAGAATTATTATGAACATCAAACAAATAGTTATATTTATTTAAATGTCTGATGATTTATGTTAATCTACATTCATATTTAAATATGAACTACCTAACTAATAATAATATTCATATTATTATTATATTTATTGTAAAAAAATTTTTAGGTGTACTAAATAATACTCTTAAGTTGATGTAGGTTCGTAATTAATTTTAATCAAAATAGATTCTGAATTGAATAATTATTTATTGATCTCTCGTATAGTAATAAATTACTATATTACTAATTATTATTTACGGGTATTAAATATTCTACACAGGTAGTGTTTATAATTTTAGTATAATATTTTAATCAACATAAAACACGTTTCAATATTGTTTTATATTCAACTAAAAATATATATTTACTAAATTATATAATATATCATCGATATTATGCAAAAAGTGATCGAATGAAAATATTGCTATTCATTTTTTTTAGTTTTGAAAATTTTTTTASTTCATAGTTATTTTATTATTTCGATAGGTTAATTTTTGCATGTTTAAATCTTGAGATGGATAATAATGTGCAAAAAATGACCGACTTAAGAAAACATAATTTTTATATTATATAAAGAATTAGTAAAAAATTCCAGTTGATCACTTGTTGCATATGTTTTGTTTATATATGTTTATATTAGTTAACATACATCATAATAATTACGTCTTTATACCTTTTCACACTTAATCATATTTTGTTATTTAGTTAAAAATAACATTTCCTAAAGAATAGGATATTATGTGAATGTATATCATACTTTAAGAAGCTAATAATTATTATTTTATCTATCATAAGTTTTTTATACTTTTGTATAAACAGTAATTTGATCAAATTATGCAATTTAGATACAAATACAGATCAAAAATATTTTTGTGTTCCAAAATTATATTAAAATAAAACATTACATTTAAAAATGAATGAAGGTCTATTATTATTAGGAATTACAAATACTGAATCGGAACGGTTCACCAAATAAACACTACTTACCCACACACTTATTTTAATTAGTCGATAATAATAATGATAATTTATACAGTATTTATAAACGATTTGTACTTACATAAACTATTCAGTTAAAATCAAATTCAATTCTAAAAGATAAATCAATTTAAAAAAATATTGTCTCACGTCAATGTAACGAGTCGTATTAATACTACCAAAACACGTATACACTGTAAATAGCTATATCAGTAAATTATTTTATATAGGTATGATATATATAATATATATATATTATATTATACTACCAATGAGTAAAATTATTTTACATAAAAATTAATAAATATAATACTTAAATTATAATTAATTAATATTATTTATATAATTATTAAATAAATGAATACCTAGTAGTAGGGTAAAATAGTTATAGTTTTTATTTTATTTTTTCAAAAATTATAAAACATTAATTACTACTAATAATTTATTATAATAGTCTGCACAGCAAAGAGAACGTTTAAAGAATAAAACTTCAACGATACCTTTTAAATATTTTTTTTATATTTAAATTAAAGCAATTTTAGTACATACTACAGATATATTTTATTAGTAAATAATAATTTTATGTTGATCAGTCTTTCATTTTATTTTTAAATTGTATCTACATCCATATATTTTAGGAATTGCTATTTGCTGTTAATTCTAATTAAAATCAAGACCTACGTACCTACTGAATGGTTGTTGTTTTGACCTAGAACTTATAGATTATATTTGTTTTTGTCATTTTTGACCACTAATCATCAAGTATTTAAGATAAATTTAAATCGCATTTTAGTCAATACTCACTATACATTCTTCATGACTCATGATTAATATATATATAAATGTGAACTATCCAAGTTTTTGATTAGAACATTCAAACTTTCAAATTGGATTTCTCAAACCAAACAATTGTTCAACTTATCAAAGGTATCAAAATCAGACATGTCCAATAACGGTTGATAAGTTTAATTTTCTATACCTAATATTATTGTACGTAGATGTATGCCTACATTATAGGTATATTCTAAGTACCCATATATTATACTATTTTAATTTTAATTGGACATACTCTAGATATTAGAATTATTATTATCAGACTCAAGATTTGTAAATTACTCGAGTAAAAATACTAAAATACGTATTTTAAATATTAAAGCACATAGATAAAACATTGTCAAATCATATAATAATCAAAGATTAAATTATCAGTATTTAAGATCAACTATTTATAGGTAATAATTTACAAAAAATACTTCATTTTTTAATTGATATTTTCTTACTTCAAATTTGAACGAATTAAATAAAAAGAAAAAATTGAAAATTGTATGTTTGCATTTGGGTTAAAAAATAAAATTTATATAAACTTTTAAAATACATTTTTTTCTAATGGCTTATTATTTATAGCCTTATAGGTAAGTAGTATGAATTTACATTTATTTACATGCGGTAAAATATTATCACTGCTAATTGTCGATTTATAAAAAGTTAAAATGATAATTTAATTTGTTATTATAAAATAGTCATTCTTAAAAACAAATAATAATAAACTTAACCTAACCTGGGAAAGAAACAGGTTTAGAGAGCTGCTATACAGCAATGATTTAGCGTATAATATTAGTGTATAGATCATAATATCATTGTATTTATAGTCCACGATTACAACATTTATGTATAGGTATAGCATAAAAAATTATATAATATGATCTTTACTGCAACAATTTAATATAATATATTTATATATACATTATTTCACAAAATATGAGTGTACAATTGCAGTACCCTCTATAAGCGAAGCTTGTAAAAAACCGTGCCCCTTTTTATTATTCAAAATATATACACAATGGATATATATATTGAATATTGATTAATTTAAAAAATGAAATAAACAAAAATAAAAATAAGAGTTAACATAACTAACAATACTACAAGAAAATAAAAAAATATGTAATATTATAATATATAATATGTATTTATTTTAAAAATTATAGACTAGTTGGATCTAAATGTTTTACATATTTTTTTTTTTAAATAATATTAATTTTTTAAAGTAATTTGTATTAATATTCAGGGAACGACATAACTTCAAACACGTATACAGCACAGTTTGTTGACCGAATGCTTTGTTAAAGTTTGGTAAAAGAATATTAATATTTTGTTCATATCGAGTATTGTAATGCTCGTGATCTAGCAGAGTTATTAAATTGTTTTATGTTTTTATTCAAATCAATTAGAACTGACAATTTGTAAATACGCTTCAAATGTTTCACTTGTATTTCCTTATAAATCGATGTGATATTATTTATCATAGGAAAATTGAGTAAGAATTTAATAACGCAGAAACATTATAGTGATTACAAGTCTATTCAAAACAATATCTGAAAATTTTTTTCAAATGGATATACCATAAGAATAAACTGATTGAAATAAAGCTGGTTAAAAAAATCAATTAAACCTAATATTATTATATTTTAATTAGCATAGATAGTTAAATTCTTGAAAAATGCAAATATAAAATATACACTGCCAGCAGAGAATATTATTTATTTTCATAAGTCCCACAAAAGAAGCGTCTACTATCTATCTTTGACCAATCCACTCTGAGTTTACTAAGGTTGGTCTACGGCATAATAATATAATATATAGACTTTATGAGTCGTGACTTTGACTTATTATAGCATCGCTTCATAATTATTTTCCTGTTAACTTCCAGCAGGTCGTGCGAGTTCAAAGTACATAATCTGTCATGCAGGGTAAACATTTTCCTTGATTAATTTTAATACATTTTTCTTTGACATTTATTCATTTTAAAAGAATTATAAATAAATTATAATAATAAAAATAATATGTAAATAATAATATACACAAATGATTTCAAATTAATTTTTTTATAGATATATAATATTACATCTCATAACTACACATAAATATATGCTACATAGATAAAACCCCATTACTCTTACTTCACTCAAAATAATATTTAGAAATATAGTTTGAAATTTATAAGCTGGTAATTTACTTCAATGACTTACTTAAGGTAAACAAATTCATATACATATAGATATTTATTTTAATTTTAAACATAGATTAAAAATGTTTTGTTATATTATGAACCTCTGTGATTTTAAGCAACGTAATAAACTAATAAGTAATAACTATAATAATATAGGTACCATAAAAGATACAAGTGGAATATTTAAGACTTATTCAACCTTATCTGCATTAGGGGATTTTTGATCAATGAAAATATACCAAATTCTAGGAATATAAAAATAATATTAAAAAGAGAAACATCTCGAGAGCATGGATAAATTATAATATATTCTACTATGAAAAATACCTTGACGATATTTATCATCCATAAATAATGCTCAATTATAATACTTATCTACGAATGTATTATTTTAGTAGCCATTTTCAATAACGAATTTATTCCCATCCGTAGTTGTCAACGTACAATTCGATATTATTAGGTACTAGTAATAGCTACCGATACTCTCAGGATCTACCTACATATTATATCTCTTTTCTACATGTAGAATATTCTGCCACAAAATTATGATATTTATGTTTATAGATTTGTATGATCATGCACAGTGACAATAATGGTCTTACGTACCGCGTACGCCGTAAACACGATAATAACTCAATGCGGCCGGCAATAATATTAATAATAGTAAAAACAAATAAATAAATAAATAAATAAAATAAACAATATGAGGTTAATACTATACCGATTTCAGTTGTGAGTAACCTTTTTATCCGGTTACTTATTCCTAATAATAATAAAAAAAAAAAAAAAAAAAAAAAAAAAAACTATAACAATTATTTTCAACGCGTTTACTATTGTTGGTAATATACCTACACATTGGTAAGCTAAAATTTAACATACAGTTGAATACGGTATTCTAGCAACGTATTTTTTTTTTTGATATCTATCGCCAAAACACGCCCACCGTAATATTATAACTACAGCAGTTTAATAATATAATAGAAAGCTATTCAAATTCAACTTAACATTATATTATTAATATTACCCTTTTGGTTGGCGTCCAGCCTTCGACGACGTCGCTGCAGTTGGTGTTCCTGTAGAGGTGGTTGGACCGTGGCCACCATCGTCTTGACAACGGTTACGTCGATCTTGAACCGGTGGCCTCGAACCGCAGCCGTCAGACATCGGACACGAAACGTCTGAACGAACGGCAGCGGCATTAACGGCCTACGCGCCGTATCCGTCCACTCAGCGCGCACAAACACCGTAAAGTACGAGGAACTGTGGTCGTCGAGGTCGTCGTTGTCAGTGTCGTCGCTGTCGTAGCGGCCAATGTTCCTTGTCGTCGTCTGTCTACCATAGCCGCCGTCGATTTGCGCGTCCACCGAAACGACACTCACGAAACGGCGACCACCGCTGTACGCACCCAGAAACCGACGCACCTCCCTGACGATGTCGGCCATACCTACCGCCGGCCGGCCGTTCAACGAGTCCATCGAGTAGTACCGCGAACTTTTAGTGAACATGGCGACCACCAATTCGGCGGACGTGTTCAGTCGGCCGTAGTAGTCGGCGGCGAACGCTTTGCCAGCGTCTTGCGCGGCCACGTAATCCGATGGCAGGGCGAACATGATGGCGGACGGCGGTGTTGATATTATATTATTATTATGACTGTGACGACGGTGGCTGGATGATGTTGTGATATAGGTACTTTGTCAACTTCCGGACGGTCGCTCTGCTGTACGAAGGCGTAAACTGAAGTTGACGGATCGCTGCGGTGTGACGTGGCGATGATGCTTGGCCAAGWAGACGTTTAAATCCACGGATTTAGTACGATTGTTTCGTTATGATAATACGCTCACCAGTCATCGTAATGGTGTAATATAAAAACAATGAAGGATTGCCAACTGACAAAATATAATTAATGGTAGCCGGTGAACATGTATTGGAATTTATTAGCTGAATCGCTTCCTATCTAAGAGTCGTTTTTTGTATGACCACGGACTACTATAAATTAAAAAATTCCATAAATACACAACTAGGTATGCTCTAATTCGCTTTCAAACGATTATTTGCATATGAAAAAAAATCATATGTACATCGAATAAAATTCATCCCGAACATAAAAAGGCACTTAAACTATGTTACTATGTTGCTCAGGCATAGTGTAATTTTATATTAGGTGAAAGATTTTTTAGAATTGGTTCAGTAGTTACAGAAATTTATCACCCCTATTTAGGCCCCACATATAAACATATTTTGCTACATTTTAATATTATCATCATAAGTGTATAGACTTTAAGTTACTAAAGTGATACATATAATTATAAATAATATAACTGTATTAAAATTTATTTGTGTCCAAATGTCTCACTAAATATAAGTGTGATCTACTAGCGTAATCATTGATAGTAGGCAAGATTTATACGCTACGAATCTACTCGAGTATGTTAAGAATTCTGGAATCAAAATTCTCAATAGACGATATTGATTTTTTTACTTTGTGTGTTTGAGTGTTAAAATAGTTGTCAGGTGTGTTATCGTCGTTGTAGCATTTATTAATATTGATGCACGAATCTATATATATATGTGTGTGTGTGTGTGTGTGTGTGTTTATGTATAAAATGTTTTTCGTTATAATACGAAAGGTTAGGTATTGCACTTACGGTATACCACGACAAAAAAATATATTCTTGCTACAAAATTGTTTAACATTAACGAACTTGTCGCAACGTCGAGTTCAAGAAGGTGGAAAATAATTTTTGAGTAGTTACTTACCTATAAGTGTACCAACTACAGCTTATGTAAGCAAAACAATATTCTGAAGAGCATACTTTACACTATACTTAATAATTAACCATAGGCTGAAATAAAATATTAATATTTTTTATATTTAATAAATAATAGGTATACCAGTAGGAAATATAGGTAAAATATATTAGTAAATTTTACTATGTTTATTAAAGTATTACATAATATAATATCCGAAAAAAATGTGAAAATTAATAGGAATATTATCAGTAGGTATATTTTTTAACTGATTATATATTGCGAACCTCCGAAAAGTATGTTTAGACCAGTTGGAAATATTAATATTAAACATAATAATTCGTTCGACCCGTTTAGACTAACTATTTGTACAAGACAATAATTATTATCATTATTTAGAAATAATAATCTACAATTGAAGTTGCATATTATTTGGTTATTGGGTGGATTTAGAAAATTCTACGATGTATATGTAAAAAAAATCATATAACGCATTTAATGATATTGTTTATATTATAATACCTAGGTACATGGTGTTAATATTTACTTATTTACGTTTTGTATATTATCGAGGATCACTGGGGTTCGTTTATAAGCCAATGATAGATATAATATGCCCGTTTTGGTAAAATGTAACCCTTAATTTGTAAGTTTAATAAATCCGATATGAAATATTATATTATCATTTTGCGATTACTATCCAAACGTTGATATACATCCAAATATGCTTCGTTATTGTTCGCTCAAGTGTATCCGTAAAAATATTTACTGTCACATGACTCAAATAAAACGTATTACATCATATATATGGCTTATCATAAATTAATTTAAAAAATACTTTTAACTACTTTATCATGCATAGGTAGGTACACATATAACAGACATATTAAAGTTATAAAGGTCCAATAATACATTTCCAAAATATTATCTTAGGTTAATATTTAGTAATTATAGGTACTTAAAATATTGTAAAACTATGCAATAATGTTATTTACAAAAGATTCATATTATTATACAAAATCCAACAAAAATCACGGTTTTACATCATTCACAATCCATCAAATCCAGACTTAAGCAGACCAAAAAAAAAAAAAAGAAACTAAAACTGTCTATTGTTCATAATGCCGCTGCCTAACTTTAATATCTGCAATGTAAATATTATATTCAAACATGTTGTACTATTTAGTATTCTATCGAAAATTATGCAGTTTTCATCTAAAATTATAATTGATTAAGTATACATATGACATATAGTACGGACAATTTATCATTTAACCGCATAATTAGATAATTAAAACAAATTTGTTTTAAAAACCTTGCGTTACACAATATCAGTTTCAATATCAGTGAATAATTGCAAATATAATGTTAATATTATATGAAAATGGTGCATGGTAGATAAAAACGATTTATTTTTGTTCTAGGTAATGCAAGTTGTTTGTTTTTATTTTAGTGTATTATACTTATGAGTAATGACCATTGTTGTACAAATGTAGACTATTACTTGGAAAAGGGATTTTAAATGAAACAATGTACAAAAGTATAAGATATTTTTCAGGTAATAGCTGCATATATCATTACAATATAATACTATTTACGCTAGGCCAATAATTGTACATTTTATATACCTATGCATAACGAAAAAAAAATTGTTAGAATGAGGTAATTTATTGGCTAGCTTAAATTTTACATCTGTTGGTAAAACATTTACATCCACAGATATACTTAAATTTGGCGTAGTCAGAAGAAAGATTGTGAGGTTGTGTGTGTCTTGGTTTCACCATTAACAAGTCGGAAATGCAAACAAACTTTGGTTGTGGTGGGCCATTTATCTTGAGATTAAATTAATTGCTTCGTTTCTAATACAAAGTAATCCATCAAAGTGCATTATTAATTCTATAATAGTTTGTACAGCAAGTACCTATACAATATACAAAATATACATCGTTAAATATTAATAATTAAAAACGACAAATCAATTTTTAACACATAGAAGCATACATTTTGCCCCATTTTATAATTCAGAAAGTTTAAAACATAATCTTATTAAGTTTGGTTTTTTAATTAATAACAAATCAACAAAAAAAAAAAAAA